GAAACTCGTTTTTTATTAGTTTTTTTCAAATCAATGAATTTCTTCCGAAGGCAGCTCAATTCCAGGAGGACCAATCTGAAGCTCCTCTCCGACGAAACCACGCTTTGGTCCATCTTTCAGATGGTAGAGAACAGGCTCATTCTTATTGACAAATGTACTATCGATATTGAAGATCTTCAGAGACCACACGAGATCTGTGATTGATCTCTTACCCTCTTTCATCTCTTGACATATATTGGAAAGTGAGGAGGCATTCATCCAAAGTTCGATTGAATAGCTCAACGATTCCCTGATCTCTGTGAACGTTCACATTCCCTCTTCTTATCCTTATATCATGCTTTGTCATCCCTCTTGTGATATCACCCATGACTTCGCGCCCAGGATCAACTTGAAGAACTTTCGGCCACCTCAATGGTCCACGGTCATAGATTGTCTGAAAAGCCTGTGACCTTAGAAGAAGCTTTTTGAGGTGAGAGGTTCGGCAGCTTTGAATCTGCTTGCAGCAACTGTCAATGCGTACTTATAGACTTTCCGCGACCTTGCGGTCGCCTTTTCATGAGGATGGAAAAGAAGATCAGCTTGATGAACTGCATTTGGACATTCAAGTTAAAACGTTGGTCTCGGGATATGCTTCGGAGCCAGCAAATATATCTGCCAGATGGCCTGTTTCATCAGCCAAAGCTTTGCAACGTCCTTAGAAACTCCGGCTTCTTTGGCCAATTTCTTCACAGCTGGCAATCCCTTCAAAAAGCCTTTAGGACTATAATAAACCCTTGAAAGTTTTCTTTCCATTTTATTATAGTTCACAGGAAACGACTGGCAGCCAATCTCAAAGCCAAAGTCATTTCTCCGACGTAGATCATCTCACCTTGCTTTTGTTGAACACTTGGCTTGTAGAAGCTGGAAATTTGTGGTTCTCTCAGATCAAGCTCTTGATTGTGCACCTTTTTGTGCAGCTTCATAGTATAATCTGTGTCCATCAAATTCTGTTCTGCCTGCTCCTTATCTCTGTCATTAGTTGTAATCCAATCGACGAGCTTTGTTCGAGTTTCTTGATACTTCCTTCTCATGGGCCGCTCGGTACTTCTCCACAAGGAGATCGATCATGCCTCTTCTTCCCTTCTTGAACACTTTTAAGGCATTCCCAATGATTGCGCAGACTACTGATCACTTAATTACATTCATTGTAAGTCGGCTAGCATTTTCAAGATGGAAAAATTTTTTTTCTTTAAGATAACGTTTTTCCGCGTAGTTCATGAGATTTGAACTCGGATCAGAAGTCATCGGTTCCTTGATGACTTTCTTTGCAACCCAGCCGATTCCGGCAACCAATCCAGTCGAGATAGCTGAGTCGGTCAATGTTTTAACAAGCTTATTATGAAACATTTTATTTGGTAAACAGAAAAAAATCAATTAATTGACGTTACTCTTTACTCTACAGGAAGCCCTGAAAGGCCAGGCCCCGTAGCGGTAAGCCTCAAAGAAGCAATGCAAGCCTTTGGCCGGGCCCCGTTGGGGCATGCCGTGGAGTGGTAAGCCTTGAAGAGGTAATTTGTGCTTGTGTGTTTTGCTGCGTTTACTTCGCTGTGCTTGAGCCTGTGGTTTTGGTTTATTAATGAACTCTTTTGTTTTATAGTACGGTCCAGCCAGTGAGAGAACGACATTTGCTACTGAAAGAATTTGAGTGGGTGAGAATGATGATAATGTTTCTGGTTGTAATCCTGCCCTCTCGGGGCTTGGATCCTTCGAGTCTTAGGGTTGCTTTGAACCTCCTCTCTTCTTCTTTTCCTCTCTCACTTTTCTGTTGTGTTCAGAAAATTTTTTGGCAGCTGTGACACGCCCTGGGTCTCTAATTGGTTTTGTCTTATTTTTATCATTTGAAGTCACCTTTTAAGCCTCCACGAGGCGCGGCCGAAGGTTAGCCCCTGCGGGCCCTGGCTGAAGGCAAGCTGGTGCTTCTTCAGTCTTAGGTTCTTTGTCATCCATTTTATTTGTTGATATATAATCTTAAGTTCCTATTCAAGTTCTTACGCAAGTACTTGCTGGTTCAGCTTCGAGAATACTCGCAGCATCTTTGATTGCTGCAGCTTCGCTGCCCGGTCGAAGGCTTTCTTTTTCATTCATATCCCATTTATATGTTAAATTTCAAAATTTATCCTGAAAGAATGACGAATGCATTTGTGAGAAATATTATCAGGATGAATATTTTTTAGTGATTTAATTGATTAAAGTTGATATCTTGTCTTCTCTTATTATTCTCTTATCATCGTTGGCACTCAAAGCTATCTTGTTTATCGTCTCAGTGAAGACCTCATGCTTATGTGATCTGACAATATTCATTTTCCTCATTTTCATGTTTCTGCGGAATAAGCACTCCTTGTAGTCTTCGTGAGTTATATTCTCCTTTATTACAACCTTCTCAATCCCTTTACACTTTTTCTCCTCCTTTCCCTCACACATCTTGTAGCCGTGGAGTTGCGCTCTCGATCCAAAATAGTATTCAATGATCTTTTTACCAGCTTCATCCTTCATCATTCCCACGACCTTCTTATTTTTTCCAGTTGGGATCATTGATACGTGATCTTCAGGGAAATTTTTTATGTGAAACTTATCTTCAACATTACCGTTTATATATTTGTAGAAATCTTTAATTTCAATCTCATACATCAAGCTGTCAGCGTTTGTGAAGAGGAGCTTGGCCGAAGGCTTTGCACGATCTCCATATTACTTCTTGATGTAGTTTTAGTGGAGTCATATATCAGTCTTGCTGATATCGAGGATGCTCATTCCACAATATATTGGCTTATCGAACACCAACTTAATTCGCTTCATGTGGATTGCAATGAGGTTTTCAACAAATATTGTCAAATGTTTGAAGTTTGGTTTTACTGCAAGCCTCTGTGCTTTCTTGCGGTTGTTGACTAATCTCATAGGAAGTTGATACCACTCCAGTCGAGCTGCTCAGATTGTGCTTTGAGGGGTTTTGTGATCCTTTGAGGGTCTTTCTCGATCGGATTAAGCGCTCTTGTTATGCACCACTTGAAAAACTGATTATCCGCACTTTTTATGTTCACGACTGCTGTCTTACTTTTAATGGTTCCGGGAGTTCGATGCAAGAGCTGCCGTTCAACGGTCTGAATTCCGCAAGATGGATATCAAGAGATATCACCCTTTGAAATCTCCAGTTGCTTCCTCTTTAACTAAAATTCTGAATTCTTGAATGGTATCCGATTGAACTATCAAATTCTTTAGATCTGTCATTTGTTTGGAAATGAGGAAGTTCTATCCCTTCGGGACCCGGTCGAAGACCTGCAGCTACGCTGCCCGGCTGAAGGCTTACATTCTCATCTCTCATTCTCAAAAACTCGGATCACTCGTAAACATAACGAAATAACATTTGAATTTGACAAGAGCCCAAACGTGTTTTTTTCTGTTTGTATTTAGACAAAAATTCTAAAGATATGAAAAAATGTCTTTAAAATTTTTGTCAAAATATCGAATCACCCCACATGTCATCAATTGTTTATGTGCTTAAGTCACATGACGAGTCGTTTCAATTTAACCAATCAGCAAGTGGAAGATGCGTCTTTCAGTTTTGTAACGACAGAGAAGATTCATCTTTCAGTTCTGTAACGACAGAGAGTATTTATCTCGCAAAATAAATTTTTGAGGGATTTTATCGAAATAACTATTGATCATTACCCCGACGCGAAAGATTTCATAATGACAGACGCTGAGGATTTCTTAAATAGATTAGTATTACATAATGAAAAAATTTGTACGCGTGAGACAAGGAAGGCAAGTGAATTTAATTTACGCTAAACCGCAGAGAGTGATATTTTTCACTTATGAAAAATGATCATATTGTATCACTCTGTCATTTCTATGCTTTCTACGTCAAATGTATGAGACAAATGTTTGATCGAAAATGAAATTTTTATAAAACAACTTAACATGTATCAAAGAAGCTTCTCGTGAAAAAATAGGTATCTGTAACACTCCGATGGCGCTACAAGAGGATTGTTCAGGAGAATCGTTCAAGATGATCATTCGAGATGATAATATTCACACCCTCTTCAAGACTCACGAGTGAGACATTGTGAATATTGTTCAATTGTAAAAAGTTGAAGTTGCCTAGATATAAAGGTTGTCTCCAAAATGTGCAAGAAATGTTTCTTGAAATAAAGGTTGATTTAAAGTTTTACTTGAAATCAAGGGTAAATTTCATGAGTTGTCTTATAAATCAAGGTTTTTTTCAAAATGCGTCGGAATCCCTTTTTTCTAACCACTGAAGTCCAAACCAAATTTAACCAAGATGAATGAAAAGTGCCCAAAGCCTCGAGAGTCTTGTGTAAACTAGAGAGTTTTGTGTAATTTGGTCACGGACACTAATTAAAATCCCTGGTAATCCTTTTGTGAAGGCGGCCACTTTGTTTTAATAGCTTTCAAACAAGAGAAAAACCGCCTCCGGGTTCAATTTTAATATCACAAAAGATAGTGGATCAGACTGTAGGAGAAGTCAATTGTTAGACTTCGTGATAATGTTGGAAACATCTGGTTGTATTTTCCCTTCCCATGTGTTGAGTCATGAAACTTTTATCCACGGTCACTGATGCAGGCGTTCGTATCTATAGTTATTTGGACTGTCTTCAGAAATCTTCAAAACTGCCGCTCATAAATAATCAACATAACATAACTGGGACCTGAAATCTCCCACAAAAACGTCAGAACTATTGCTGCCTTGGTCATGGAGAATTAAGGTATTCATCTATGAAGCAATTAAGGACTTATAAATAATGTCCCCTTCAATGGCCAATCCATCTTTCTTCGCTGCAAACCCTGTCGGTTTAGCTTTAAGTTCGGTAGTCAGAAATTGCAGTCATGAAGCTTATTACAATTATTTTAGTGGTGTATTTCTCTATTTTCGCAGATGCTGGAAAGGGAGGAAGCAAATTCTGCAAGAGTGCAGATATGAAGTTGGATTAGCTCAAAGATATGATAGAAGAAAAGGAGTGTCCGAGTCCAGGTGAAATGAAAATTCATTTTTCAAGTATTTTGGTTAGTATTTGTTTGTTTCAGAAAATTTACGTTTTCACATCCCTTGCTGTACCATGTAAGCAGCCAAAATTGATGAATTTCTGGTTGTCAAGTTTTTCCTTTCCTTCTAGTGGCACCTCCTGAACCGCTCATGTCTTGCAAGGAGATTTATGATGCGACCGGGTAAATACGCTCAATTTTTCGTGTGAAATCATTGCGAAAAAAATTAGGTACAACGGTACTCCTGCATTTTGACACACTACCCACAAGCGGACGCTTTTTTTCAGGTCAAAAGAGAACAAGGCATACATGATCGATTTGAACGGCTGCAGGAAGCTGCCTGTTTACTGCAACATGGATGGCGCAGGTCTTGGCGACTGTGGAGGCGGTGGGTGGACACTGGTCATGAAGATTAATGGTGCAGAGGTATCCACAAAGTTGATATTGCTCATTAGGTTAACCTCCCGCGTAGTTCGGCTGTCTTCTCATTAGTATGGTTAAATGAGGAAAAATTGAAGTTGCATTTAAATGAGAAATAGTTTTGCTCTTTTGTCTCCTCTTGTAACAAAGGTTTAAATACGATTCACCGCTTTGGACGAACAGGAGAGAATACGGCCTTCCTGAAGGGGAGTCTGGCTTGGATGACCAAGAGACCAAGTTACCAACCTACTGGAACACAGTAGGTTGGAATCGTGGGTAACAATGAAAACGCTTGCACGTCCAGCGATTCCCGAATCGGGTTTGGTACCGTTGGATACCCAGACAATACCAACTCTGTGGTAACGTGGCCAAGCACGGTGGAGATAATGGCGATAAATTCATCAAAGCCATGGGATACATCTTCGTTCAGTAGGAACAGTTAAACTTCAAGCAGTAGGGGCCTAAGCTATTGGCTGCTGAGCATAGTTAATAGGAGCACATGCACGCTAAAAGGTGTCATTGCCGAAAAAAGTAATAAAATGGATTGGATGAATGACGCTGTTCTCCTTGAGTCTTGTCTTAGATTTTTTTTACCCGGTTAACAAACCTGTTCCTGTATGACCTAATGTTTAAGCGTTGAAATGAAATTTGATGTAAATGAATATCTTGAGATCTTCCCGAACTGTTCCCTCTCTTTTTCCGAACAGAAACGAATGAAGAAGGAAAAGTAGCATGCCAAGAACGCTTTGATATTGCCTTCCAGCCATCATCCGCAGTGTTACTAAGCGATCTACTGATGTAGACTTCGTTAAATTTAACAATAGTTTTTATGTCTCTGCAAATTGTGGATAGATCTTGTTTTTCATGGAACGCTCCCTGTTTATCGTCTCCGTAAGTCTCCCAATTTCGCCATATAAACTTCAAAAAGGAATCTTCTAAAACAACACCATCTTGTTTAGCCGCGTCGACAGCGTCTTTTGGAAGTATTCTTAAAAGGTTCAATGTAGTGCATTCTCTTACTTAACCATCGTGCGCACGCTTTGCTGTTGTAGGCCGTGGCGGACAGTTGCCCGGACAGACATTTAATGCAGGGAAGTAGGTATCATAACCAAATAGTTAGGAACGTATTCATCTAAAGAGACTGACAACGAAAGCTAACAAGTGCCCAAGACAGTGACTGTTAGACCACGTATCTACTTTGGCTAAAAGGTTATTTGTAATGGATATGAACTAGCTTTTGAGGCGGGTTCATTTACGAATTTATTTATTGCATCGGAGCAAGCTTTTTCAAAGGAATCAAGTGAATGCATACGAACTAAAATTAGCACCGCGTTGTCGAAACTTGTTTCAGAAGCGAAAGGTAATTTGTGGTATACATGTGGCGAATGTTCATAGCGCAAGATGCAGTCTCTTATGTTTCCATTTTGACCCATTTCGGCCAAGAATCAAATACATGATTGCGAGATGCAAAGCCACGTTTAAAGGAGCTTATATGAAATACCATAAATTAAAGAGGTTTCTATTTAGAGGCATCTTAAATCAATGTTTAAATCAAGCTTTGTTTGAGCACATTTGAATATTTCCTCAACGTTTATTGATTGCAAGATCGATTACACTAATTGCATCTTCACAGACGTTTACCAAATTTAAAACGAATTACATCCCTTCGTATTTCACTGTTGCAGGTCAAGCTTCCCGAAATCATTGCTATGGGATGTTGACTTCTTCATACTCCACTCGCCCTAACCGGGGCCTCAGATCGAGCTCATTTTGGGCGATATATATTATTTATCATCATCAAAGGATTTTCACAAAATTTGAGGCATTTTCTTCTAAGATGAGTAAGACAATGATTTCTTGTTTAATCGGACTAATACATATTATGCCTTTGAGGTCATTCTTTAGTATGAAATTACGTTTCTTGTTTTGCGTGAATGCGTGCGGGAAAAATTGATTTTTGGAAAGCACCCTGTGTGGTATTCCTATTCATTCATAAAGCATATTTTCTGCAGAACACACGATAAGGCGGTCTTTCATTAAAACCCCATTCAAATTTTAAAAAATGGCGGTTCTTTCCTGAACAGGTGTTGTCATCTATCTTTTCGAGCAGTTTCATTTTTAGAATAATGAAAAGAGATATGAAAGACATACATACAAAACTATCAGGTAATATTTCAATTATTCAAGTTTTGTAAGCATGGCGACTCGCTTAGCGTAATATTTACAGGAGCGAAAAGTTTGTTCTTCGCAAAAACCTCTGTAAAGGCTTCAACAAATTTTGATTTATGAATTTCTAAGTTTTTCTGTTTTAAAAATTTTTTTTAAAGTAAAACAGAAGTGAAGAGAAACAACAAAGGGCAGTGGAATATCGGGCAAAGTCTCAAGGAATAATTATCGTGGAATCATTCTCTATGGAATGAAATTAATGGCAGTTTTTCAACATTCATTAGGAAAATTACCAAAGCTGACAGATCAAGTTATGAAATATTTCTTCATGACCTCCAGCGAGAGCTTTCAACCTGAGTTATCATTTTATTTCAAACGCTCTATCCTTGCTTGTCCTTTAAATCCGCCAACCGATGAGTGCGCATATTTTCTCACCTTTGAATCTCCCTCATCACCGAGTATCCGATCCTTATTTCTTTCGGGATTATTGCGAATTTACCCCCTGTTTCATGTTAGAACAAAAAGTCATTCTTGTTAGGGCTTTTGAATGGACCAATGACTTCCTTACAATAGATTGTAGCCTCTGGGGCTCATTGGTAGCGATAAGTGTTATTCACCATTATCTCTCTGATAATTTTATTAGTCTTTCATGGCTGTTAAACGACGCTGCACCTTCATGACTTACCTGCTGTTTTATGTCGGACCACAACATTTAATTTCACGAGGCTGAATGATTTGTGTTGACTTTTGGAAAACACCCTGTATGGTATTCCTATTCAATCACGAAGCATATTTTCTGCGGAACACGCGCGGAGACTTAAACATAACTACACAAAGTGGACCCGGGTCGTAAACCCTTCATTTGATTAAAGAATCTTTCTGTTAAATTGCAAGTACTTGTTAACAGACGTCCGCACAATCAACATTGATGTACCATTCATTTAATATTCATAGGTCCAAGCGACCCATCCCTTAGGAGGAAAATTGTTAAAGCGTTTTAGCCTTCAGTTTTTTCAAGTCCGTCGCTGAGCTAATATGCTTGAATAACTTTCAACACTGCAACTAAAAAAAATATCTCAATAACCGTAATGTGCTTTCTGGGTCATTATTGCTTTTTAATTACATTCCCTTAACATTTTCTCTTTATACGTCAAAAGTTCAATCAGGATTTCTTGGATTTTATTTCATGTTTGATAATTATTAAGACAACCATCTCGTAAGGGATACGAAATAACAAAAGGACCGTTTAATGATTACGTAACCAAATTCAGCAGTTGAATAAAATTCACATATCATTTGGTATGCTTTATCTACATAAATGAATGAATGACTTGAAATTTATTTCAGCCTTTGGTGAAACGTTAGAGATTTCCTTTCATAAAGATTTTCATAGAAAAAAAGGAGATCCAGCAAACAATTTCAGGCCTGATGGAGGTGTTTCTGTGAAGTCAAAATGAAAATCATTTCATTAAGGCTGATGATCTCCATCAAAAGCACATTTTTTGTTTACGGGTCCACAACCATTCTATCGAGAAAATATTACTATAGTTCTCAATTTTTTTATAGAAAACCTTTTGGAAGAAATGATTAGGCCTTTGACATCGCTTGGCAGGTTGTTCTAATTTGTCAAGGGTATGACCAGTCCTCATGAAATATCCGTGATATTATGCATTCGAAGTTCGCAAAGACGTATAAGTTTGTTTTGTAACTTAATGTCAGAACTTTCACCTTGCAGACGCTGTTGCCGGACGTGCGGAGGTAATTTTACTCTCTGTAAATTAATTCTGTAGAAACATTCCAGTATTGTGTTTTCCAAGGTCACTGCAGCAGGTGTTGGTATCTATAGCTATTTAGACTGTCTTCTTAAACTTTCGTAAATTGTTTTTCTCCGATATGCTGGTTATTGGATAATCGACCGGTAAAGATCGTTAAACTAATTACTATTTAGATACTGACTGACTTTTTAACCCCCCGGTAAGAAGTGAATAATGCTGTCGCGCTGTTTATGGAAAATAAGAGTTTTCAGTTGAGCACTAAACTAAACCTCCCAAACACTATTGCCTCCCAAACACTATTGCCGGGCGTGCAGAGGCATTTTCCTTTCTGTGTTCTTTAATTCTAAAAACTGAAAAAAAAAAAGTTCGCGGCGTGATATGTTTATCCAGGTCATTTTGGCAGGCGTTCGTAACTATAGTTATTTAGACTTACTTCAGAAACCTTCGTAAACAGTTTTTCTCTTATTGGCTGGACATTGCATAATCGGTTGGTGAAAACGTTAAACCAATCAATGTGTCGGACATGATTAACTTTCGAAAACTCTCTCTAAAAAGTAAGAACTACTGTGGCCTATGTTATGGAGAATTTGGCTTTTAGGCTGAAGAGCGATCAAGGTCTTATTAACAATTATCTCTTCAACTTCCAAATTATCTTTCTTCACTGCGAGTGTAACCCGATCAGTTTAGTTTGGAGAGTAAGGATCAGAAGTTGCAGACATGAAGGTTATTGCAATTATTTTCCTGGTGCATTATGTTATTTTCGCAGATGCTTTTCGCAAGATTGGATGAGCTGGAAATGATTGAGAATTTGAAATGTCCTTGCCCAGGTAGAATAAAAATGTAGTTTTCAAATTCATTCGCCGAATCTTTACTTGCTTTATATTTTCAACTTTTATATCTATTTCTATAAAAATCTGTGAAACCAAGGTTTTAAAAATCCAAAAGAAGAGTTTAAAGTATTGGGTATCCCTTTTTTTTCTTTTCAATCTAGAGCCGCCTCCAGAACCACCCGTGTCTTGCAAACACGGCTTTGAAGACGGGGCAAAGTATATCTTAGTGCTTAAGCTTATACAGAAAACAATGGAAATAACAAATATTCACATTTATGCTAATAAAAAAGTTTTTTTTTTTGTGGATCAAGAGCGAACAAGGATTACATGCTTCAGGTGGACGAAATCACGAAACTGCCTGTTTATTGTAACATGGATGGCGCCGGTCTCGGCGACTGTGGAGGTGGAGGATGGACGCTGGTCATGAAGATTAACGGCACAAAGGTAGTTTAAGAAATCAATTTCATCCAGTGATAACACTCACATTGTCCTTGAACTGTCCTTGAAACTTTTCACGATAACTTTTTCATTAGTACATGTTAGGTGCAATGATTAAGTTTCATTCCATGTCCGTTCTTGATACGCAATACAGTAATTTAGCACCATATCAAAGTGTCTCTCTAGTATGTAGCAACTATCAAACCCGTAGCATTGATTTGGTTATTAAGATGGTGACAATTGCAAATAGGCCCATCTTCTGTGCGAGCAAAAAAACTGGAGCAGCAACATAAATATCTGTTACCGGAATCATTAACAAAAATATTTATAGAAGCGTTCTCCCGCCAAAAAAAGTCTTAAGAAACTGTAAGCTGTCAGTCTACCATCTCCGACGGATAAAGAGATGTGATGACATGAACAGTTAAAGAAAAGATTTGAATACAGAGAGTGATACGTATAAATTAAAAATATCGTGATGAACATATGACAATAGTGACATAAAAAAACACACTTAAAGTGTTGAAGTTAATGTTTGTTCAAAAGGATGATGTTTTGTCCTGGGTGTGAGCAATTATCAAGATCCTCTTACCTATGACAATAATAAATGTCTGCGTATTTCAAAGGATTGTTGGAAAATACTGCTTAGCCGTCTGCAACGAAGCAGATAGAATAGGATCATTGTTGCTTAATGTTGAAAGTGGGAAAGATAATCTCCAGTCTTATAACATTCATCAGTTGGGTTACCTTGTGACAACTTTATCAACAAAACTCTAAAATTTTGAGTCGCGCATTTCATGAAGTGATAGGGGAGACATAAAATTACTTTTTGTAACACCATGAGGGCGACTTAAGAGTGCAACACGATGCAAAATTTAAGACCCTTTTATAGAATCGATCCTCGCAGTTATGAACACTTCTGAATTAGTAGTTGAAAACAACAGGCCTGTATGGGATTTGAACCTATGACCAGTGCAGCGCTCTTCCAACTGAGCTAGCAAGCTAACTGGGAGCTGGTCATTGGATCCAAATAAACCTTCGAAGTGGTGAAAAATGGCTGTAAACATATGAAAATCTTATGAATAATGTTTTTCAGGTCTTATTGAACTACTAGTTTAGTAATGTTCATAACTGCGAGGATCGATTCTATATTCCGGTTTCTTCAACCGCAGTGCACACATATGAATTTAATATGTTTACTGCCATTATTTAAGACCATTAAATAATAGACCGGAGAGCCAAGTTGCCAACCTATTGGAGCACCTCCTTTACCAAGATCTGCCTGGGTATGAAGGTTGGTGCAGAAAGTAAGTTCATCGTTTTGAACTAGGAGGCAAGCTCACTGCACTCCCTGATAGCCGATGGCCAATATCGCAAAACCTCACTGGGCCGAGAAGCATGGAAGGATCTCATCAGTGAAGCCTCCCTACAGAAAAAATGCAACAAAGAAGGCTTCAACGTCCTAGTCGATCTGGCAGGTTCTTCGAAAGCACGAATTGGTATCGTAGGCAGCAATGAAGATGATTGCAAAAGCAGTCATTCCCGAATCGGGTTTGGTACCGCTGGATATCCAGCCGATCCCATTTCGTGTGGCGACGTGGCCAAGGACGGAGATAAAGGCGACAAATTCATCAAAGCCATGGGATACATCTTCGTTCAGTAGAAACAGTGGAACTTCAAGCTTTAGGGGCCGAGCTGAGCTACTGGCTGCTAAGTATAGTTTTTAGTACATGCAAGCTAAAAAGTGTTATCGTCGAGAAAAGTAATAAAATGGATTATTGGATGAAAGACTCTCTTCTATCTATGTTTTTAATCATTATGAAATATTTTTTGTGGTTAACAAACCTGTATTCAATGATGGAGAAAAAGGCGAAAAATTCATCAAATTCTCACTGTCCATACACTCTAGCACTGCTATCACTGAAACAGAATCGGAACGAGTATTAGAATAGGGGCACTTGTTAATAAAAACAAATTTCGAGGGGGGAAGCTCTCTAGAGGGCAGCGCTTATGGGAAAGAGGACGCTAAGTCGAATTAATACGGTAGTGGAAATAAGTATGACTGAGTAGCCGCTTGTTTTAAATTTACAAGGACTTTGCTTGCAACACATTATCGAAGAACTCTCGAGGGGGTATCGCAGAAAATGAAGTTGTTTGTGAGGAAAAAGCATGTCTCGCTATAAACTTTGCTTATAATCACACAACATGTTGCAACTATAATTCTTTTTCTATTCTATTCACGGTTTTGCGAGAAGTTTCGCGAGGATTAAGTAACTGTTCATATTTATTCCCATCAATACGCGTTTGGTTTCGTTCGCTAGTACTTGTCTATTACATAGTTGCTTTCAATTAAGTCATTTTCATCTCCATCATCTACGTTCACGCCCTCTGATTAGATATCTGTGTACTCGTTGTTGTGGCGTAAGAATTAGTAGTGTCCATTTACACAATGCAAAATATTGTAGGGCTACATAGCTAAAAACTCAAACCCAGGAAGCAATTATCATTGAGTCCGAACTCTGAACCATTACCAACAAAATAAATTGGAAGTACGATGTAAATGAGGAAATTCCTCCTCAGCTTTGGCTCAACAGCTAATTAATGCTTAGAAATCAAAATGTGTCCGCTTCAAGTTCTGGTAACCACGGTAAGCTATATCATACCGTTATTCATCTATTACCCATTGATTTGACCTTTCAATTATCATTTATTTCATAACTCAGCTATTCAAACAGGACGAAGCAGTTTTTGTACAATTGAAAGGTCACTTAATAACGACAGCCAAACATTTTCGGCAACATAGCTACCGGGTCTACCAGGGATCGTAGACCCAGTAAGTATTGCAAGCCTAGTGGTAGGGTACATTCTACCTCGACACCATCATCTGTTACCGCAAGTTTTTTTTTGAGTGAGATATGTGACTGAGGAGGTTTGACAGATATTTTCCTAAAAACGGCAAGCTTATCTGTTTTGTTTTGAGCTTATCCCAGCAAAATGAAAGCGAACAATGCAAGGTTTTAAAATGTCGCCATTTTGCCGTCATCATATTACTTCAGAAATGTTGTCGTTCCCATTTCTTTGTGCATGTAAAATTTCCCATGCGCTAGAGGCATGCGCATTCACTTTGAGGCTGTATTCGCTCTGTTGAGTTTTCTGTCTCAGTTCTCCGGGCTCGTGCGTTTTTAAATAAGTTGAAAGGCTTGGAAGGAATAGGACACTTGCACGTGCGCGTCATGTTCGCGGGAAAGGGAGTGATCACCCTATCAATGATCGAATGAAGTGGTGGAAACACCCTGCAGGTCAAACAGGGATCTTGGAGTGTTGATCATGTACAGTGATCGAGAGGCTTCCATTGACCTTATTTGCGGTAAATTTATTCATCGAGCGCGGACATGTGAAACCATGTTTGAAAGTTTTGAAAACCTATCAACGGACAGTGACCTGCGAAGTACACTTTTTAGAGGAGTTTACCCAAATATGTGAATATCTCACTTCCTGTTATCCAAATTTAACGATCCGGGAGATTAAACAGGCTGCGTTAATGAATCTTTTTTTCTCTGAGGACTTGCCTTCCTTGAGTAAGTAATCCAAGGGGAATTGTACTTTATTGGTTGTTTTTGAAAGCCAGCAGATAACAACTTGATTCGAAACAGCATGAAATGAACTCACTGGAGCATGAACAAGTAAATATCATTTACATATTCCCTTGAGAAAAATTTATGGCGAAGAACCGCTCCTAACTATTACTAATTCACGACTTACAGAACTTTTTATATCTTTGATTTCTGTTTCAGAAAATTGCAGTTGCAATTAAACGAGAAATAGTTTCACATTATAGAAGGCTGCAATTACATCAAAAGAGCACAAACATCTCAGTTTCTTTACTTCCTATTGTAGTAAACGTTTAAATACGATTCACCGCTTTGGACGAACATAAAGAATACGGCCTTCCTGAAGGGGAGTCTGGCTTGGATGACCAAGAGACCAAGTTACCAACCTACTGGAACACAACCCTCACCAAGATCTGTCTCGGTATGAAGGTTGGTGAGGTCACCAAGTTCTTTGTTTTGAACCAAAAGGCAAGCTCGCTGTACGCCCTGATTGCAGATGGCAAATATCACAAAACCTCTCTGGGTCGGGACGAATGGAAGAAGTTGATCATTGGTGCTTCCCTGCAAAACAAAAGGAGGGATTCAACGTCCTGAGTGTTAACGCTGGTTCTTCAAGGGCACAAATTGGAATCGTTGGTAACAATGCAATTGGTTGCACGTCCAGCGATTCCCAAATCGGGTTTGGTACCGCTGGATACAATACCAACTCATGTGGTAACGTGGCCAAGTACGGTGGAGATATATATGCTGGCGACAAATTCATCAAAGCCATGGGATATGTCTTCGTACAGTAGAAACAGTTAAACTTCACGTCTTTTGGAAGTATTCTTAAAAGGTTCAATGTAGTGCATTCTCTTACTTAACCATAGTGCGCACGCTTTGCTGTTGTGGGCCGCGGTGGACAGTTGCCCGGCCAGACATTTAATGCAGGGAAGTAGGTATCATAACCAAATAGTTAGGAACGTATTCTACTAAAGAGACTGACAAATTCAACAAAAGCTAACAACTACCCAACACAGCGAGTGTTTTTAAGTCCGTCGCTGAGCTAATATGCTTAAATAACTTTTAACACTGCAACTAAAAAGCCATATCTTAAGAACCGTAAGGTGCTTTTTGGGTCATTATTGCTTTTTAATTACATTCCCTTAACATTTCCTCTTTATACGTCAAAAATTTAATCAGGACTTTTTGGATTTTATTTCATGTTTGATAATTATTAAGACAACCATCTGGTGAGGGATACGAAACAACGAAAAGAAAGTTTAATGATTATGTAACCACATTCAGTAGTTGAAAAAAATTCATGTATCATTTGGTGTGATGTATCTATATGAATGAATGGATGGCTTAAAATTCATTTCCGCCTTTGGTGAAACGTTAGAGATTTTCATTTCGTGAAGATTAAATAGAGAAAAATGGAGATTCAGCAAACCATTTCGGGCCTGATGGAAGTGTTTCTGTGTGTGAAAATCATTTCAATACAATATTTAATAACTTTTGAAATCCATCACGTAAATAATCTGTGTCCATGCTATTCTCATTTAATTTGTAAGTGACCTGATATATCATCATTCCGCATTGAAAATACAATATTTGATAACTTGAGTCAGTTGTGCACGAAAAATAGTCACTCAAAGTGAAAGTACTATTAGGAAAGTTTGTTTTGTAACTTAATGTTGGAACTTTCACCTTGCAGATGCTGTTACTGGACATACGGAGGTAATTTTACTCTCTCTGTAAATTAATTCTGTAGAAACATTCCAGTATTGTGTTTTCCAAGGTCACTGCAGCAGGTGTTCGTATCTATAGCTATTTGGACTGTCTTCCGAAACTTTCATAAACTGTTTTTCTCCGATACGCTGGCTATTGGATAATCGACTGGTAAAGATCATTAAACTAATTACTATTTAGATACTGACTGACTTTTTAACCCCCCAGTAAGAAGTGAATACTGATGTGGCGTTGGTTATGGAAAATGAGGGTTTTAAGTTGAGCAGCAACTAACCGAAAATAAACCTCCAAAACACTATTGCCGAACATGCAGTAACATGTTCCTTTCTGTGTTCTTTAATTATAAAAACTAAAAAAATAAAAGGTTCGCGGCGTGATATGTTTATCCAGGTCATTTTGGTAGGCGTTCGTAACTATAGTTATTTAGACTTACTTCAGAAACCTTCATTAACGTTTTTTCTCTGATTGGCTGAACATTGCATAATCAGTTGGTGAAAACGTTAAACCAATCGATGTGTCGGACATGATAAACTTTTGAAAACTCTCTAAAAAGTAAGAACTACTGTGGCCTATGTTATGGAGAATTTGGCTTTTAAGCTGAAGAGCGATCAAGGTCTTATTAACAATAATCTCTTCAACTTCCAAGTTATCTTTCTTCACTGCGAGTGTAACCCGATCAGTTTAGTTTGGAGAGTAAGGGTCAGAAGTTGATGACATGAAGGTTATTGCAATTATTTTCCTGGTGCATTACCTCATTTTCACAGATGCTGAAGAAGGAGCCAGCAAATACTGCAAGACAGCGGACGAAAAGTGGGATGAGCTCAAGGAAATGATTGAGAGTTTAAACTGTCCTTGCCCAGGTAGTTTAAAAATTCAAAATCCATTCGCCGAATCTTTACTTGCTTCATATTTTCAATTTTTTATCTCTTTCTATGAAAATCTGTGAAACCAAGGCTTGAAAAATCCAAAAGAAGACTTTTAAGTTTTGGGTATCCCTCTTTTTTTTTATCTAGAGCCGCCTCCAGAACCACCCATGTCTTGCAAATACGGCTTTGAAGACGGGGAAAAGTAAGTAGTCATAATATCTTAATGCTTAAGCTTATACAAAAAACACTGGAAATAACAAATATTCACATTTATGCTAATAACAAAAGTTTTTTTTTTTGTGGATCAAGAGCGAACAAGGATTACATGCTCCAGGTGGACGAATTCACGAAACTGCCTGTTTATTGTAACATGGATGGCGCTGGTCTCGGCGACTGTGGAGGTGGAGGATGGACGCTGGTCATGAAGATTAACGGCACAAAGGTAGTTTAAGAGTTGATATTTCATCCAGTGACAACAATCACATTTTCCTTGAGTGTCATTAGCATATGTTAGCTGCAATGATTAAGTCAGTTGCATTCTATGTCCGTTCTTGGTACGCTATGCAGTAATTTAGCACCATATCAAAGTGCCTCTCTAGTATGTAGCAGCTATCAAACTCAAATTGCAAATGGGCACATCTTCTGTGTGAGCAGAAAAACTGGAACAACAACATCGAATATCTGTCACCAGGATCATTAACAAAAATATTTATAGAAGAGTTCTCCGGCCAAAAAGGTCTTAATTAACGGTAAGCTTTCAGTCTACCTGCAAAGAAGCAGATAGAACAGGATAATTGTTGCTTAATTAATGCTGAAAAAAGGAAAGATAATCTCCAGTCTTATAACAATCATCACATGGGTTGGACCTTGTGACAACTTTATCGACAAAATTCTAAAATTTTGAGTCGCGCTTTTTATGAAGTGAAAAAGGAGACATAAAATTCCTTTTTGAAACAAATGCGATTTGGGGTTGCAGTTATCTATTTACTTTCAGGGCGACTTAAGGGTGCAACGCGATGCAAAATTTAAGACTCTTTTGTTTACTGTCATAGTCCACATTCAAATATGACTCACCTTTCTGGAGCGACAAGAAAGAATACGAACCCTCAAACGGGAGAAATTTGGACGCCGGAGAGACCAAGTTGCCAACCTATTGGAGCACCTCCTTTACCAAGATCTGCCTGGGTATGAAGGTTGGTGTAGAAAGTAAGTTCATCGTTTTGAACCAGGAGGCAAGCTCACTGCACTCCCTGATAGCCGATGGCCAATATCGCAAAACCTCACTGGGCCGAGAAGCATGGAAGGATCTCATCAGTGAAGCCTCCCTACAGAAAAAATGCAACAAAGAAGGCTTGAACGTCCTAGTCGATCTGGTAGGTTATTCGAAAGCACGAATTGGTATCGTAGGCAACAATGAAGATGATTGCAAAAGCAGTCATTCCCGAATCGGGTTTGGTACCGCTGGATATCCATCCGATACCATTTCGTGTGGCGACGTGGCCAAGGACGGAGATAAAGGCGACAAATTCATCAAAGCCATGGGATACATCTTCGTGGGGGCTGGGCTAAGCTACTTGCTGCTAAGCATAGTTTTAGTACATGCAGACTAAAAAGTGTTATTGGTGTAAAAAAGTAATCATTAAAAATTTTATCATCTTGAAATATTTTTCAGTGGTTAACAAACCTGTATTCTGTGATGGAGAAAAAGGCGAGAAATTCATCAAATTCTCACTGTCCATGCACTCTAGCACTGCTATCACTGAAACAGAATCGGTTCTTTTTGACTGAGATGTGTCACTGAGGATGTTCGACAGAAGTTTTCCTGAAAACGGCAAGCTTATCTGTTTTGTTTTGAGCTTATCCCAGCAAAATGAAAGCGAACAATGCGAAGTTTTAAAATGCCGCCATTTTGCCGTAATCTTCACTTCAGAAATGTTGACGTTCCAATTTCTATGCGAATGTAAAATTTGCCGTACGCTAGAAGCACGCACATTCACTTTGAGGCTGTATTCGCTGTGTCGAGTTTTCTGCCTCAATTCTCGTGGCTCGTGCGCCTTTGAATGAGTTGAAAGGCTTGAAAGGAATAGGACACTCACACGTGCGCGCCATGTTAGCGGGGGAAAGAGTGATCACTCTATTAATGATCGGATGAAGTGGTGGAAGTTCTTCGAAGGTCAAACAGGGATCTTGGAGTGTTGATCATGTACAGTGATCGAGAACCTTCCATTGACCTTATTTGCGGTAAATATATTCATCGAGCGCGGACATGTGAAACCATGTTTGAAAGTTCTGAAAACCTGTCAACGGACAGTGACCTGCGACTTTGAACTTCGGGTAAGTAACGTCAGCCCAGATGATGTCAGTATATCTTTTTGGTGTAATTGCTGAACGAAGTAGATTTCTTTAGGTCCTGTCTAGACTTACTGAGCCTTAATGGCATATTACTGACTTTAAAATTAAGGGGTTTTACGCTTATTAGAGGGGTTTACTTAAGTATGTCAATATTTCACTTCCTGTTATCCAAATATAACGATCAGGGAGATGAAAGAGGCTGCGTTAATGAACCTCTTTTCTCTGAGAACTTGTTGTTAAGTTGTTACTTCCAGCAAGTAAGTGTTGGTTATTTTCACTGAGACAACTTGATTCTTGAAAATTATAATTTTAAGCTAATTGCCGGTTTGCGTCAGTTGCACGTTCCGTTTCCTTAAATCAAGAAAAATAAATGTTACTGTGTTGACTTTGAACGATTTCAGACCTGCGATTCTAGCCAAACCCGGGATTTGTGTTTAAATGAAAAGAGAAGTTTGACAGCGAGTTGCTAATTATAGAACCATGAGAACTAATTTAATTTCAATATTTTGTCTTTACTTGCAACGTAACTATACTTAAACCGGAATATTTGTAGTTTACCAAATAAAAGATGGTTTGCGTTTTGCAACAAAAACGTAGATCGTTGCTTGAGGTATGTAAGATTAAAAGCGCGGTATAGGTTATAATTTCCGTGGAGAAACCCTTCAGATTTACAATCAGTGCTTACCAAAACAACAACAAATGAATAAAATTAGGTAACTGTGCAAATTCCACCTGGAACTCAACTTTGGGGGTGATAATTTGGTTTGGACTCCAGAGTATAAGTAGGGCATACAACTATTAATACGGGATACAGTGTTGATGAAATAAAATATCCGCCTGCTTACAATTTGATTTCGGATCACTTTTTAGTTTGGGTATTTTTAAAAATGGAAAACTGGTATTTAGCCAGAATAACTAATATTTACATTCTAAAGTATCCAACTTGATCATAAAAACCTCGTAAATCGCCGGCAGACATCTCTTGAAGTGCACGGTAAATAGTTACATCAATGTTAAATCTGAGAAGATCGCGATATTCATACCTATGTAACACAGATTTAATTTTGTGAGAAATTAACCAATTAGTGAAAATACTGGAAGGTATATAAGAGTTACTCCAAAACTGTCCAGCCATTCAGCAAATGCTTGTCGTCCATCAAAACGGCGCAAAGCAGCATCATCAACCACAACGATATCTCCATATTCGAGGATTGCGTTCCCGTTAGGCTGCATGAATTGGCTTGCCTCATGGAAGAAATTAAAAAACTCTACTGTGTTGCTTGCCTCATTGAGGGCATTGGCGTACATTACTCCATTAAGTCCGCTCAAAAAGTTAAGCGTCACATTTGGCGTTTGTGTGCTCCTCGTTATTTCTATACAAGGTTCGTACTTCGGGTTGGCGCAATCTGGCAATTTGAAACCAGCTTCATCAAAAAACTTAACGCGAAACGGATCCACAATGGTCATGAAATTGATGTAGCTTTGGCAATAAGCAATGTTATCAGGGGTGAATTTTTCGCCCGCTGGTCTAATCATCTTTTTCCAAGTCATTTTCCCTTCAGGTAAGCGGTCTCGGACAGCTGGGCCTATAGCAGAAATAGAAGCCGTTGGTGTGGAGTGCACCTCGATATTTTCTTTAATCTCCTTGTAAGTAATCAAAGGTCTAAATTTTATCAGTACCTGAACCAAATCTAGTTCTGGTTCCTCTAGACTTTTCGGTTGACCCCCACCCACAGTATGACGTGGAAGAGTTTCTCCCGTTTGACAAAAGGTCTTCCATATGTTTGAAACTGTAACACGGCTCACTTCGTACTTTGATCCTATTGCTCAGAAACTTCCAGGGTAGAACTCTGTTGAAACATCGCCACCTCCACTCATAATATCATCAATAATCAGTGAACTCATGTCTCGTCCAATTGATTTCCCGCTGTGAAAAGTTCTTCCGCAGGCATTCTTCTTGCTACAAAGTTTTCTGGCCGCCAAAGAAACAGAATATCACGTGACAAATCTGGGCGCTCCAAATGGTCACGTGAGCAAGCCCAAAATTCAAATTCGATCGATCGTTTTTTCTGGGGTGCTAACAGTTAAGTGATTTCGATAGAATCTTTACCAGTTCCTTGAATTGAATTGATTAATCAGGATAGCTTAGATCTGTTGAGAAACTTGTTCTTTATTAGTTTCTTTTAAACAGCTCATTCCAGGAGGACCAATCTGAAGCTCTTCTCCGACGAAACCACGCTTTGGTCCATCTTTCAGATGGTAGAGAACAGGCTCATTCTTATTCAGATGGTAGAGAACAGGCTCATTCTTATTCAGATGGTAGAGAACAGGCTCATTCTTATTGACAAGTGTTCTATCGATATTGAAGATCTTCAGACCACACGAGATCTGTGGTTGATCTCTTACCCTCTTTCATCTCTTGACATATATTGGAAAGTGGGGAGGCATTCATCCAAAGTTCGATTGAATAGCTCAACGATTCCCTGATCTCTGTGAACGTTGTCTGAAAAGCGTGTGTGACCTTAGAAGAAGCTTTTTGAGGTGAGAGGTTCGGCAGCCTTGAATCTGCTTGCAGCAACTGTCAATGGGTACTTAGAGACTTTCCGCGACCTTGCGGTCGCCTTTTCATGAGGAAGGAAAAGAAGATCAGCTTGATGAACTGCATTTGGACATTCAAGTTAAAACGTTGGTCTCGGGATATGCTTCGGAGCCAGCAAATATATCTGCCAGATGGCCTGTTTCATCAGCCAAAGCTTTGCAACGTGCTTAGAAACTCCGGCTTCTTTAGCCAATTTCTTCACAGCTGGCAATCCCTTCAAAAAGCCTTTAGGACTATAATAAACCCTTGAAAGTTTTCTTTCCATTTTATTATAGTTCAAAGGAAATGACTGGCTGCCAATCTCAAAGCCAAAGTCATTTCTCCGACGTAGATCATCTCATCTTGCTTTTGTTGAACACTTGGCTTGTAGAAGCTGGAAATTTGTGGTTCCCTCAGATTAAACTCTTGATTGTGCACCTTTTTGTGCAGCTTCATAGTATAATCTGTGTCCATCAAATTCTGTTTTGCCTGCTCCCTATCTCTGTCATAAGTTGCAATACAATCGAGGGGCTTTGTTCGAGTTTCTTGATACTTCCTTCTCATGGGCCGCTCGGTACTTCTCCACAGCGAGATCGATCATGCCTCTTCTTCTCTTCTTCAACACTTTTAAGAGCGAATTTTTTTTATCACCGCGTGGGAGTTGGCACATGATCGGAAAAATCACTATCCTCATATTTCGCTCAGAGATACCTTTGGGTAAGTCTATAAACGTGGTATAATTTTTTTGTTCAGAGCTGTTCTTATTTTCTAGAAAATCACCAAACACTGTATCGAGCCCCAACCGCCATAAAATGGCCGAAATGAAGTCGATGTGTAGGGCAACAAAACCTTTATTCCTCAAAAGCGCAAAAGAAAGCAAGTCTTTCTGAATTTTACCTATTTGTATACGAGGTATTAAAAAATGATTTGAATCTAATAACGGGCTTGTTGACATAACTATGAATTATTGGCGAATATTTGAAAATAGCCAAAATTTGATTGATTAAAAATTACATTTTGGAGCAGTTTTTCAATAAAAATTTTTCCTACCTGGTATAACTTGGAATCACTTAAGATGAGCATTTTTACAAAGTGGAAAGAATGTTCTTTCCATGGATATAAAAATTAATTTGGGGCTCTTAATTACTGCGAAGAAGTAGCCCGGTCTATTTTGTGCAAATCGCAATGCCGCCATGTAAACAACCGCAGATAATCCAATTAGGCTTTTTATTATTGAAGCCATAATTCCAACAAAATCTTATCGCTTTGACCTATACTAGATTGTAAACTGGATTTCTTAAGCTCACCTGGCGAAAAACACCTTTCTAAGATTGGTTCCTGACAACAGTTTCGATAGTACAGCACTACAGGCGGTGTATACCAAATCACAGTGAAAACATCCCACGAAGGTTCCTGCCGGAAACGTCGCATTGCTGGACAGTTATAACCACATTTCAGCTTGGAACACTCACATTTTACAAGTCTTCCTTTCACAATAAGAATGGAAATTTTTTCTTTTTATAGAACGAGCCAGAGCATCCTGACAGATGAAACGAATCATTGACGTTCGTTTTTTGCGATGGTGTCACGCAATAACATGTCACTCGAAAGGAGGCTCGGTTACCA